TTCTGACGCCCGGGGGTGGGGTTTAGGATCATGTGACTGCCGTGATTGGCTGTCAAGGCAGTCACATGATCGGAAAGGTCCCGATCACAAGGAGAGATCTGGAACTTTCCGGGGGATGCCGTCACATGTGCTGGGAGTGCACAGGGTGCGCGCTCTCAGCACATATTTGTTTGCTAATATGTACGCAAACATGCAGCCGTGTGGCATCAAGGCCCAGCTGCCAAGAGGCCGCATATTTGCGTACTGTCGGCATGAAGAGGTTAAAGTTCATAATTTCTGAATTTTATCATGGGTTTGATAAATGTCCTGCAAATAGAGCCCAGGTTCACTTGTTTGAGGCATACATGTCACAGCTAGTTGGGATAATTACCTTTTTGAGAACAGTTTGCATCACGAGTGGGGCAAAAGCAAAGTCCTAGCCTTGACAATATATAGTCTTACATATGTGTATCTGTAAATAGAATACATAGAGAGAGAGAGAGAGAGAGAGAGAGAGAGAGAGAGAATTACCATATCCAATATGGTAGCTAGGATCAATCACAAAATTCCATGAGATGCAGAGTGAGTGTAAAAGGACCTAAGTCTTTTATAAAATGGCCAAAGCCATATGGTTTGAAGTGTATTCTTCTACCTTCTAACAGGAGAGGCCAAGGTCCTGTGTGCATCACTTTCTAATGTGCTTGACTTTAGAAAGGTATATAGAAAGTAGTAAACAGAAGTGAGTTACAGGAAGCATTTTAAAGTAGTTTTAAAAGCAAAAGTATTTTTTACCTTAATGCATTATCTGCATTAAGGTAAAAAAAAACTTTTCAATAGCCCTCAGCACACCCTCTTAAAAACTTAACTAGTCCATTGTTGATCCAGTGCTGTCCTGCCTGCCGCAGCTCTTCTCCCCTCCTCTTCTCACATGCTTTGCTGATGGCAGTGGGATCCATTGGCTCCTGCTGCTGTCAATTAAATCATATAAGAAAGGGAGCGGGGGGGGGGGCCTAGCTGTGCTGTGTGTGTCTGGATTGGGAGCATGCCTGCACAAGTGTCCCCTTAGCAAGCTGCTTACTATGGGTGCACTCGAGAGAACAGGAAAAGTGGGGAACACTGGCAGGGGACCCCAGAAAAGGGTTTTCATGGCTGCTCTGTGCAAAACCATTGCCCAGAGCAGTTAGGTATATCACATTTTTCATTTTAGAAACATGTAGGTTTAGAACACTTTTCTGACCTTTTATAGATACTTTCAGGGCTGCTTATCTCTTCCAAATAACACGTCACCACACGGATGGGTGGTTGCATGCCTACAGCTATGGTGTCTGTCAGCCTGTCATTAATTTGTACTGGCTGCTGGCTGTGGATGAACTCAAGCACTTGTGAGTCCTGACCACACAAATATGTTGGTTCTTGGTGGTGTATGGCCCTCCCTCTATGGTCATGTGAATGAGGCCTTAAAAGGTATCATATATATGCTGAAATGCCCTTTTCGCTTGGCATATACACTATATTGCCAAAAGTATTGGGACACCCCTCCAAATCATTGGATTCAGGTGTGCCAATCATCTCCATAGCCACAGGTGTATAAAATCAAGCACCTAGGCATGCAGAGTGCTTCTACAAACATTTGTGAACGAATGGGTCGCTCTCAGGAGCTCAGTGAATTCAAGTGTGGTACCATAATAGGCTGTCACCTGTGCAATAAGTCCATCCGTAAAATCTCCTTGCTACTAAATATTTAATGGTCAACTGTTAGTGGTATTATAACAAACTGGAAGCAATTGGGAACAACAGCAACTCAGCCATGAAGTGGTAGGCCATGTAAAATGACAGAGCGGGGTCAGCACATGCTGAAGCTCACAGTGCACAGAAGTCACCAACTGTCTGCAGAGTCAGTAGCTAAAGACCTCCAAACTTTGTGTGGCCTTCCGATTAGCACAACAGTGCATAGAGAGCTTCATGGAATGGGTCTCCATGGCCAAGCAGCTGCATCCAAGCCTTACATCACTAAGTGCAATGCAAAGCGTCGGATGCAGTGGTGTAAAGCATGTCGCCACTGGACTCTGAAGCAGTGGAAACATGTTCTCTGGAGTGATGAATCATGTTCTCTGTCCAATGGACGGGTTGGGTTTGGCAGTTGCCAGAACAGTACTTGCCTGACTGCATTGTGCCAAGTGTAAAGTTTGGTGGAAGGGGTTATGGTGTGTGGTTGTTTTTCAAGGGTTGTGTTTGGCCCTTCAGTTCTAGTGAAAAAAATTCTTAAGGCACCAGCATACCAGGACAATTTCATGCTCCCAACTGCCCTAAAAAAGTATTCATATCACTTGAAATTTTCCACATTTTGTCATGTTACAACCAAAAACCTAAATTTATTTTATTGCGAATTTATGTGATAGACCAACACAAAGTGGCACATAATTGTGAAGTGGAAGGAAAATGATTAAATGGTTTCCAAATTTTTTTTACAAATCTGTGAAAAGTGTGGTGTGCATTTGTGTTCAGCCCCCCTGAGTCAATACTTTGTAGAACCACCTTTTACTGCAAATACAGCTGTAAGTCTTTTTGGGGATGTCTCTACCAGCTTTGCACATCTAGAGAGTAAAACTTTTGCCCATTTTGCAAAATAGCTCAAGCTCTGTCAGATTGGATGGAGAGCGTCTGAGAACAGCAATATGCAAGTCTTGCCACAGATTCTCAATAGGATTTAGGTCTGGACTTTGACTCGACCATTCTAACACATGAATATACTTTGATCTACACGATTCCATTGTAGCTCTGGCTGTATATTTATGGTCGTTGTCCTGCTGGAAGGTGAACCTCCACTCCAGTCTCAAGTCTTTTGCAAACTTTAACAGGTTTTCTTCTAAGATTGCCTTGTATTTGGCTCCATCCATCTTCCCATCAACTCTGACCAGCTTCCCTGTTCCTGCTGAAGAAAAGCATCCCCACAACATGATGCTGCCACCACCATGTTTCACGGTGGGGATGGTGTGTTCAGGGTGATGTACAGTGTTTAGTTTTCCGCCACACATAGCGTTTTGCTTTTAGGCCAAAAAGTTCAATTTTGGTTTCATCTGACCAGCACACCTTCATGATGCTGTTTGTTCACTAATGTCCTCTAACAAACCTCTGAGGGCTTCACAGAACAGCTGTATTTATACTGAAATTAAATTACACACAGGTGGACTCTATTTACTAATTAGATGACTTCTGAAGGCATTTGGTTCCACTAGAGCAGGGGTCTCCAAACCTTTTAAACAAAGGGCCAGTTTACTGCCCTTCAGGATTCGGGGGGGGGGGACTGATCAGTGTGAGTAGAAAATGTCTTGGCATAGTTAAGAGTAAACACTGCCCCATCATTGGGTTTAACACGAGGAATAATGTCCCATTGTTGGTTTTAGCAGGAGGAATTGTGCCCTATGGTTTGTATCAATGGGAGGAATAGTGCCTCATCGACAATGTCCGTGGGAGGAGTAGTGCCCCATCATTGGTCTTAGCAGGAGGAATAGTGGCCCATTGTTGGTGTTAGTGGGCGGAATAGTGTCCCATTAATGGTGTCAGTAGGAGGAACGGTGCTCATCACTGGTGTCAGTTGAAGGAATTGTGCCCCATGGATGGTATCATATGGAGAAATAGTGCCTCATCGACAATGTCAGTGGGAGGAGTAGTGCCCCATCATTGGTCTTGGCAGGAGGAATAGTGGCCCATTGTTGGCATTAGTGGAAGGAATAGTATCCCATTATTGGTGTCAGTAGGAGGAATGGTGCCTCATCACTGGTATTCGTTGAAGGAATTGTGCCCCATGGTTGGTGTCAATGGGAGGAATAGTGCCTCATCGACAATGTCAGTGGGAGGAGTAGTGCCCCATCATTGGTCTTAGCAGGAGGAATAGTGGCCCATTGTTGATGGGAGGAATAGTGTCCCATTAATTGTGTCAGTAGGAGGAATGGTGCCTCATCACTGGTATTCGTTGAAGGAATTGTGCCCCATGGATGGTGTCAATGGGAGGAATAGTGCCTCATCGACAATGTCAGTGGGAGGAGTAGTGCCTCATCATTGGTCTTAGCAGGAGGAATAGTGGCCCATTGTTGGCATTAGTGCAAATAGTGGTCCATTAATGGTGTCAGTAAGAGGAATAGTACCTCATTGCTGGTGTCAATTGGAGAAATAGTGTCTCAAGGGCTGGCTAGGGTCAAGCAAAGGGCTGTAGTTTGGAGACCACTGCACTAGATTTTAGTTAGGGGTATCAGAGCAAAGCGGGGCTGAAAAGAAATGCACGCCACACTATTCAGATATTTATTTGTAAAAAAATGTAAAAACCATTTATTATTTTTCTTCCACTTCACAATTATGTGTCACTTTGTGTTGGTCTATCACATAAAATCTCAAAAACAAAACATTTACGTTTTTGGTTGTAACATGACAAAATGTGGAAAATTTCAAGAGGTTGAAATACTTTTTTCAAGGTGCTGTATATAGGTTAAATTAGTTCTACATCAGAAGTATTGTAAATAAATAAATCTATTTTAAAAAAAAATGCCAGTGCAACTCTTTGTAGATTTTTGCCCCCTTATGGCACTGCATGATGACATTCAGGGGTGTGTTTGCCTGTATGTCAGGAACTGATTGCAGCCACCCAGTGCAGGGAGTGAGATGATGGTGTAACCTTAGAAAGAGCTGGATCCCTGGCAGAAGGATGATATATGTGTTGGTAGGTGGAGCATCCCTACCCCAGTCCCTCCTCATCCCTGCATCCACACTCGGTCGCCTCTGCACTGCAGATTTCCTCGACAAAAGCCAGCTTGGACCGATCCACCGATGCCATTCCACCTGTTTTGCTGCTGATCGTGTTCCTTGCAGAGGAGAGAGGAGATCGGTGCCAGTCCCTGGTGTTCTCCCTGCTCCCAGTTCACACACACTGATGTATTTGCGTCATTGATGGGAAGCAGCCGCCGGTGAGGAGCACACACAGATCAGCAGCTGTCATCGTGCCTGGAGCCGGGGATCGGGACTCCTCGATGAGACAAGAGAGGCTGAGCTGCAGCTTGAGGAGAGGGGGACGATGCTTGAAGAGGCAGAACGCCGGAGGAGGAGGAGGAGGAGGGGAACATCCTGAGCAATGTGCTGAAGAAGAGGAACTGCATCTCCAGGACCGCACCGCGCCTGCTCTGCACCCTGGAGCCAGGTGAATGGGCAGCATCCATCACACCTCCTCCGGGGCTAGGGGTCCCCTAAGGTCAGGCGCGGAGGAGAGGTGGATCGGAGGGCGATCTGGATCTGGCTGTGTGTTGTAGGAAGACTTAGTAATCTTGGCTTAACCCTACATTGTTCTAGTAATCGGCTCAGCAGCAGCGGGTGCTTTGTTGTTTTTCTGGATGGTGATCCATTGTAGGCACGAGGGGTGGTGTGGAGGGAGCTGATTGATGAGTAGCACTGAGTACATGGCACACCATGGCGGGGGAACGATGAGATCTCCGATGAAAGGTGTGTACATTCATGATCGTTGTCTGCTGGCACAGTGACGTCACTGGTCGTGCTGAGTGATCGGCGGCTTCAGCACTGGACAGCGCCCCCGCCCTCCTCTACATGGCACCCGGCTTCACCTGTCACCTGTCCAAGATCCCTCCCTCTCTATTGATTGCTTTTATCACCTGTATTCATGTATTGTCCTCAAGGAGCTGACAATCTAAGGTCCCCATCTCACAGGATAGATGTGCACCATTAATACATGATGATGATGATGAATGGAGATAGGGACCTGATTAGAATGAGCGTTAGGGACTGATGTGATTGTACAATATATGTAAAGTGCTGACTACATGTTTGGTGCTATAAAAATGCCTCTAATAATACTAAAAAATGTGTATTTACCCGTATGAGCTAGGGAGCGTAGATTATATGCTCCCTGAGGGCATGGACTGATGTGAATGTACAATATAGATGTAAAGTGCTGTGTAAATTGTTGGCTGTAAATTAAGAGCCAACAGTTTACATATATATTATACATTCACATTGGTCCCAGTTCTCAAGGAGCATACTCTCTAAGGTTCCTAACTTACATGGATATTTACACATTATTATTGGTATTTATATAGAACTGACAATTTAAACAAAGCTTTACATATACTACATTCACATTAGTCCCTGCCCTCAAGGAGCTTACAATCTAAAGTCCCTATCTACATGAATATATACTTAGTATTACTATTATTAATAATACTAATGTACATATATCTGTGTGCCTACAGTTTAAATATGTATTACACAGTCCCTGTCTTCAAGGAGCGCATAATAATAATATTATTATTACACCAAAAATTTACACACCTTGTACATTCACATCAGCCCTTGTCCCCAAGGAGAGCACATGGATAGATGCACATCATTCTTATTTTTAGTAGTAGTATTTATATAGCACCAGCAATTGACGTGGAGCTTTACCCTTGGTTCATACATACACTATATTGCCAAAAGTATTGGTCGGCCTGCCTTTAAACGCACATGAACTTTACTGGCATCCCTGTCTTAGTCCGCAGGGTTCAATATTGAGTTGGCCCACCCTTTGCAGCTATAACAGCTTCAACTCTTCTGGGAAGGCTGTCCACAAGGTTTAGGAGTGTCTATGGGAATGTTTGACCATTCTTCCAGAAGAGCATTTGTGAGGTCAGGCAGTGATGTCGGAAGAGAAGGCCTGGCTCACAGTCTCCACTCTAATTCATCCCAAAGGTGTTCTATTAAGTTGAGGTCAGGACTCTGTGCAGGCCAGTCAAGTTCCTTCACTCCATACTCGCTCATCCATGTCTTTATAGACCTTGCTTTGTGCACTGGTGCGCAGTCATGTTGGAACAGGAAGGGGCCATCCCCAAACTGTTCCCACAAAGCTGAGAGCATGAAATTGTCCAAAATGTCTTGTATGCTGACGCCTTAAGAGTTCCCTTCACTGGAACTAAGGGGCCAAGCTCAACCCCTGAAAAACAACCCCACACCATAGTCCCCCTCCACCAAACTTTACACTTGGCACAATGCAGTCAGGTAAGTACCGTTCTCTTGGTCACCACCAAATCCAGACACATCCATCCAATTGCCAGACAGAGAAGCATGATTGGTTACTCCAGAGAACACGTCTCCACTGCTTTAGAGTCCAGTGGTGGCATGCTTTACACCACTGCATCCAAGGCTTTGCATTGCACTTGGTGATGTAAGGCTTAGATGCAGCTGCTCTGCCGTGGAAACCCATTCCATGAAGCTCTCTACGCACCGTTGTTGTGATAATCTGAAGGCCACATGAAGTTTGGAGGTCTTTAGCTATTGACTCTGCAGACAGTTGGTGACTTCTATGCACTGTGCGCTTCAGCATGCACTGACCCCGCTCTGTCATTTTATGTGGCCTACCACTTTGTGGCCCAGTTACTGTTGTTCCCAGTTGCTTCCACTTTGTTATGATACCACTAACAGTTGACTGTGGAATATTTAGTAGCAAGGAAATTTCATGGATGGACTTATTGCACAGGTGGCAACCTATCTCGGTACCACGCTTGAATTCACTGAGCTCCTGAGAGCGACCCATTCTTTCACAAATGTTTGTAGAAGCAGTCTGCATGCTTAGCTGCTTGATTTTATACACCTGTGGCCATGAAGGGGATTGGAAGGGGATTGGATCCAATGATTTTGAGGGGTGTCCCAATACTTTTGGCAATAGTGTATGTGGTGTGGGAAACGCTATGATCCCTGTGTGTTTCCCACACTGTATTGCAATCACACTGTGTTTGTGATCTGCTGTAGGTGTCCATACAAATTTAATGACACCCCAAATGGATTGCAAACACATTGCGGTTTGCCAGCACAGGACCGCACAGTAAAAAAAGACCATGCAATCCTGTTGCATTTCAGCTAGAAAAAAAAAAAGTGCCTTCACATTTTTAGTGCTATGCGGTTTGATTTGATGGACTCAAGCTGCACCACACTGAATGGCATGTGAATTGCACAGGAATGCGGAACTGTTCCTGTACAGCTCACATGTGAGCTGTAGTGTGAACAAGGGCTTACACATATTGTACATTTTACATCAGTCTCTGTGTTCAAGGAGCTTATTACGTAGGGTCCCTGTCATGCATGATTGTAATTAATATTATTATTACAGGTTGTTATTTAGTGCTAACAATTTATGCAGAGCTTTACATATATTGTACATTCACATCAGACCCTGTCCTCAAGGACTTTACAGTCGAAGGTCCTTAACTCACATTTATACATACATACATGTTGTTGTTATTATTATTATTCTTTTAGGTATTTATATAGCACTAACTTGTACATAGCAATTTTTACATATATTGTATGTTCACAGCAGTCCCTACCTTACAGCGCACAATTTAAGGTCTCGTATACATACACATTATTATTACTTCAGGTATTTATTACTACTATTATTATTAGAGATATTTATGCAGCAGCAACCATTTAGATAGCAATTTACATATACTTTACATTATCATCAGTCTCTGCCCTCAAGGAGCTTACAATCTAAGGTCCCTTACTTACATACATACCAAGGTCAAATAGAAGCCAATTAACCGATCAGTATGTCTGGAGTGAGTGTTGGAAGTAACTGGGTACCCAGAGAAAACCCCACACAAACACGCAGAGAACATGCAAACTCCATGCAGATAGTCTCTAGGGCGATAGTGTCTAAACGAGGATCTAGTGCTGCCCCAAATACACTACCTACTAAGCCACTGTGCTCCCCCAAATACAAAATATCCCTAACATGCTCTCTGCATTACCAACTGTTGTAAGCACTTGTGTTTATTGTTGCATAAATTTGGTAGATCACTAAACCTATATATTTTTTTCATTGCAGGGGTAGACACAAAATTGAAATTTACCCTGGAACCTTCACTGGGACAGAATGGTTTTCAACAGGTAATGCTGTGCAGGTTTATGTATATAAATCTGTGTTGGTTTTTTTTTTTTGACAGACTGTCCCATGTTTTGATATTTTGTACAGTTGCAGATACAGTGGCCTAGCATATTGCACTGTTGTCTAATAGCAATTTAAGTGGCTAAACTAGCCTTTCTCAACCTTTTACCTTCAAGAACTCATAAAGCTGAACTTCAGAAATGATCCTAATTGTATACTTCCATCAAGCCAGCTTGTACCAATGCAAGCATGTGCAGTATAACTTCTACCCGAGGGACCATTGGGAAAGCTGCTAGTCACTGTAGTTGTCGGTGCTGCTACAGCGATCACTGAATTCATGAGGCAGAGTTGGGACGGGAGCTCTTAATCTGTGCTGATAAAATGTTTTCAGTAAGCAGAATAAAATGTTTAGGGGTTTGGAATAGCTAGATAGATAGATAGATAGATAGATCACAACACTGAACAGTCATGCTCATCAATGGTTAGATGTTGCTATAGCCTAAGCTATGTAATGCTATTCTTTTTGTACAAAAAGACTGTTGCCTGTGTACTGGATAAGGTACTCTGAGCCTCAATTTCACATAGTTAGTCTGGAAATGACTTTTTTACTGAACAGTAACCTTATTATTATTATTATTTATACAGGATTTATATAGCGCCAACAGTTTGCTCAGCGCTTTACAATATAACGGGAGACAATACAGCAACAATACAGTTCAATACAAGAGGGATAGGAGGGCCCTGATCCTTGGAGCTTACAATCTAGGAGGGAGGGGCTTGTGGTTATTATTATACATATTATATTATAATATATTATTAAGCACTGGTTTGAACTGGTTACATTACTGTATCTTCAATGGGTATTTATACAATTAGAACATTGTAGTTCATTAATTAAAAATGCTAGGCATAAAATAATTTATTATCCTATGATGGTTGGCCCTTACTTTTTCTAAGAGCTTGTAAACTAATGGGACACTTATGCTACTGTTTTCTGTGTTTCTAGTGGTACGATTCACTCAAAGCTGTTGCCAGACTACCCACTGGAATACCTAAAGAGTGGAGGAGGAAAGTAAGTGCTTGTTAACATTTTAAATACATCGGTCTAGTGTATTGGCAGTAAATACAGCAAGCATTTCTTTTTTATTTTGTAATTTAAAAAAAATGGTAACATGGATATTTTATATAGTTTGTCACCTTGCACACTGAAACCACAAGAAATATTATTATTATATTTATTTTAATAGTATACAGGATTTTTATAGCATAAGTAGTTTGTGCAGTGCTTTAAAATATAAAAGGAGACCGTACAATCACTATACAATACAATTCAATAGAAAATGGATTGGATACAAGAGGGTTAGGTTAAAATCACTATAAAATTAATTTTTTTTTTTTTTTTACTGATTTCAGGTATGGCTGACACTTGCAGACCACTACTTACATAGCATCTCTATAGACTGGGATAAAACTATGCGCTTTACATTTAATGAAAGAAGCAATCCTGATGATGACTCAATGGGAATCCAAATTGTCAAGGTAATACTCTTCAACAATAGCTTTTAGTGTTAGAAGGAAATGACTGATTACTTCTTTCTGGATTGGGGCCTGATCAGTGTATGCTTGCTTAGTGGCGTCGCTGTGGGGGTGCGGACCGCACCCAGGTGACACCCGCCAGTGACTGATCTGCATCTTTTGCCTGCTGTCTGGGTTACTATCTCTGTCCCTGGCTCACACAGCAGAGCAGATTCCTTACTGAATCTGCCTCCCCCTCCTCGGCTGTTTGCATTGTACACATACAGGAGGGGAGGAGGGGGAGGAGGGACACCACTGTACATGTCCCATGCTGATCTGAGGTTTGTACCAAGTGTACTATATGGTAGCTGGACAGACTGACCAGGAAGAGAGGCAAAGCTAGCTAGCACACGTGGAGAGGGTGGGGGGTTTGTACTGAGGGGGAGTCTGTACTGAGGGAGGGGGAGGGTCTATACTGGGGGTGGTTGTCTGTACTGAAGGGAGAGGGTTCTATATTGAGGGAGGTTGGGATCTGAACTGAGGGAGGGGTTCTATACTAAGGGGGAGTATCTGTACTGAGGGACTGAGGGAGGAGGGTCTTTATTGAGGGTGGTGGATCTATATTGAGGGAAGGGGGACCTGTACTGAGGGAAGGGGGACCTGTACTGAGGGAAGGGGGACCTGTACTGAGGGAAGGGGGACCTGTACTGAGGGAGGGGGGTCTACACTGAGGGAGGGGGGTCTACACTGAGGGAGGGGGGTCTACACTGAGGAGGGGGGTCTATACTGAGGAGAGGGGTCTATACTGAGGGAGGGGTCTATACTGAGAGAGGGAGGGTCTATACTGAGGAGGGAGGGTCTATACTGAGGAGGGAGGGTCTATACTGAGGAGGGGGGGTCTATACTGAGGAGGGGGGGGTCTAGGAGGGAGGGTCTATACTGAGGAGGGAGGGTCTATACTGAGGAGGGAGGGTCTATACTGAGGAGGGAGGGTCTATACTGAGGAGGGGGGTCTATACTGAGGAGGGGGGGTCTATACTGAGGAGGGGGGGTCTATACTGAGGAGGGGGGGTCTATACTGAGGAGGGGGGGTCTATACTGAGGAGGGGGGGTCTATACTGAGGAGGGGGGGTCTATACTGAGGAGGGGGGGTCTATACTAGGGTCTGTACTTAGCGGAGAGGGGGGGTCTGTAGTGAGGGAGGGGGAGACTATACATGTGGGGGGGGGGTTAAACAGTTTTTACTGCACCAGGTGACACCAACTCTAGTGACGCTACTGTGCTTGTTGCTGTAATAGGAGCCTGAAAACCTAGAAGAATTATTATTTATATCTGTCCCTGTTCTTCCCTCTGCCAACACTTCATTATTGTGGTGGTCACCTGCAATGCTGTTTGTCCACTATGGGTAGCACTTGCATAAGGTGTTGTCTTTGTCCTTTGGAATCCTGGAGTACTAAAAAAAAAAAAAGGAAAAAAGTTGAATCTACACATGGGCCTGCACAGCACACATGGCCAGCGGCTTCTGTTTTTCACACAGGTGGGTCTGGAAAGCATTAGACAATCCAGTTGCTGACAATTTCCTAATTATGTAGCCTGTGCTCAAGGAACATCAATTCTTGGGTTTTGTGAATATGTAGGCCGGGTTTTCCAGACTCTGCTAGAGTCTGACCTATGGGGGTTGTTTTGCACAGAATCCTGTGACAAGAGGCTTCAGGCCCAGCAGGAAGATACATAAGCAGGCTGTTATATAAAGGTCATATTAAACATTTGAGTGTGAATTTTAATGTTAGAACAGTTAGACAGCATTTGCCGTTCACTGTCCGGATATACTTGCTGACTGGAGTTTCTTTTTAAGTTGCCATATCAGTGTTTGATATGTCTAAGACCTTCCTAGGAACATTTAGTCCACATATACAGTATGTGCATGCATAAAAATTGACATGGTGTATTTCATTTAATGATCTAAATGAACCAAAATGCAGATTTGTTATGTGTAAAAATGAGTACACCCCTACATTTACCACTTTTTCAAATTCATGACATTAGAATATGGTGTTCCAGATTAGGTGCCAATTATTAAAACCTCCATAGCGTGCATGCAGGTGGAACCTGTCTTATTTAAACCTCAGACACCCAGGGGTTTATTTTACTGTTTAGGTAACTCTTACTATAGTTGGAGTCCAAGTGCATGCATCTACAGTCATAAAGAGATTGCACCAATTCAACGTGCATTAGAGGAGTGATAAGAAAAAGTCTTTGCTGTCCAATAAGATTATTAAAGCACGATTGCAGTTTGCCATTTAACCTAAAAGCAAAGATCAGGTCTTTTGGAACAATGTGCTGAAGACTGATTCACGATTGACTTGTTTGGTCACAGTAACAGTAGACATGTTTGCTGCAAACCAGGACAGTATTTCAGGAAAAGAGCCCCATAACTGTGAAGCATGGCGGTGGAAAGGTTATGGTTTGGGGTTGCTTTGCTGCTTACAGACTCAGTCCTCTGTTCTTCTATACATTCTGCATCATATCAGAGTGTGTCTGATGAGAAAGTGAGGCCATCTATCCAAATGTTGAAGTTGAACCGTAAATAAATCCTTCAACACAATAATGATCCTACCTATACACACAAGCAAATCCACCAATAAATGGCTCAAAACGAAGTAAGAAGACTGTCCTAATCAAAGCCTTGATTTGATTCCCATTGAGGTTTTGTGTAGGAATTTTGCAAGTAAGGTTCATGCGAGGAAACCCACAAACCTTTTTGCAACCAAAATAATTTTGCTTGGAAAAGTGGCCAAAAAGTTCACTGAATTGATCTTAGAAAACGGGGGCAGTTTTATAAAATGCCTACAAGAAGTAATTTCTGCTACAGAGACTGCAATACCAGCTTTTGGTGCTAAGGGTGTACTTAACTGTTCTACATACACCATTAGGCTACATTCACATGGGCCACTAGCCCTGGAGCGAATGGCAGAGGCAGGAATTGCTGCTGATTTTGTCGTCCATGAGCTGCTAGGTATAGCGGCCAAGCCCTGTACACTTCAATGACATGTTGCCAGCGGCTGTCCACACAGCCAGTGATTATCTGTGGTGATTGCTGCTGGATGCACTTTTTGGCTGCAGGCAGCCCATCGTTGAATTGTACAGGGTTCAGGGGCTGCAGATAGCCATCCACGGGTGACAAAAACAACTTCAGGAATCAGTAGATTCCTGCCGCTGTCATTTGCACTGGGGCTGGTCGCCCATGTGTATACAGCCTTAAACCTACTCATATTTTTGGCAAATGCAATAAATTATATCATGAATGAAATGAATGAATTTTTCTTATTCCTTTTCAAGTATATCACCTTTACCTGTAGGCACTGCTTTAATGAACATCTAATGTTTGCATGTTCAATACCTTTCTTTAGGACCTCCACAGGACTGGCTGTAGCTCCTACTGTGGACAGGAGGCAGAACAGGATAGAGTGGTACTTAAACGGGTTCTTTTGGCCTACGCCAGATGGAACAAGTCTGTCGGCTATTGTCAAGGGTTTAATATTCTGGCTGCACTCATCCTGGAAGTAATGGAGGGCAATGAGGGGGATGCACTTAAGGTATATACAATTATTCTGTTATTATTCTGTTGTTAATGTGGCATCAATTTATTTGTTTTATTTTACAGTTTCCAATACACGCAGTGGTAATTGATTCCAATACAGATTCATTACAATTGTACACAATAAAACTCCTGCTTATGGCAAGTGTTCTTAGCATTGCAACGGATATTTAAATACATCACCAAATATACATTTAAGCTTTTCCTTCGAGGTTGTGTGCAAATAAGATGTCATGATGGCTTAGCAGCAGCTTGAACAGAAACACTTCTAACTAATGGAATATGTCTGCTAAGAAAACTCCCTTGATTCTCATCAGAGATGTCTCCTCCTCTTGTCTGTGCTAGGCAGATGGCCTGCTATTGCTACACTGATTGACAGGCTCTGTACTGATCTCATCCTCCTTGTAGATCTCATCAACGAAAAAAAGAAAAAACTGTATCCATTACAAAAAAAAAAACCTGATTGCTATCTAAATCTTTTCTAGTAATGCCATCTGACTTAAAATTTCAGAAAATCATTGTGGTATGCACACAGCATACATGGATGGTGTGCTGTCTTTTGTTTGTTTTTATAGTGTTTTGGACTAGGTCACCTACAGACCATTTACCGTGATCTACCAGTGAGCCAAATTAATATAGAATTACGTGCACGTGGAAGCAAGAATCTGACACTGTTGCAGTTTGCCAACTTCCTAAAATTCTGTTTTATTGAGGAACTAGCAGTATCATTTATAGGGCTTATGATGCAGGCAAAGCATATACGTTGATTGGGTGAAAAGTCCACTGGGTTTCTGCGTGTTCTTCCATCCGTGTTGATATCTTTCCAATCATTGTCCCCAAAAAGACTCATTCCCTTTTATGGGGGTTGTTTACATTAAAATATACTTTTCTCCTAATGAGTCACCTAGGGTGAGACTCCGGATAAAGGCGCCATCTTAATTATCATCATTGTTCTGTCAACTTATATCTGATTGTTTTCTTAAGAGAGTAAGGAATTTAAAGAGCAAGAAGCAGAAAGTAGCAAGACTATAAAATTGTCATTTTACTGATCATCTAATAAAACGTGGACTGTCTATCACAATCCACTACAATATAGATTTAGCATTTTACTTAAAAAAAAAAATTGGAGATATAAAAGACACAGATGAATGTATCTATGTTATCATCAATACATCAATATTTATTTATTTTTTTTTTTTTCTCCCACGTTTGAGTCACTTTCACTTATGTGTGTGTTTTTTTAATTTCTCACGGAGGGTAGGGTGTGGGTCCTCGGGCATACCCAGAAGTCTAGGGGGAGGATGTGTGGCCTTTTGGTTCCTTCCTCCCCTGTTCCTGGGGGGTCTCTCTTCGGGAGAGCCCCCTGAACTAGTACTTGGTGGTGGTTTTGGCTAGCCACAAGGAAAGGGGTCCGCCAGGCCTTTTCGCTAGGTGGACCATGTGAAAACCTCAGTCCCTGTCTGGATCTTCGTGCCCCGGGGGATCAGGGTAGAGGTCCTACCTCTTCGGGGGTGTAGACAAAGCACACCCCTAAGTGAACTTTTTTGTGTTGGTGTTTTGCACTTGCACCTTTTTTTGTTCACTTACGGGTTTTTCATTCTTTCTCACTTCCACGGACTTAAAAAAAAAAAAAAAAAAAAAAAAAGTGTAATTTCTGTTTGCTGCCTCATTCCTCTACTATTAGTATGAATCACTTCTGACACGATTTCATGACACCAAGAGAAAAAGGTGACAGGAGAGGGACCTCCAGCAGAGTGATAGCCACAGCTCTGTTCCTGTGGTGATATCTGTGCAGGGGGAGGGTGGCCAGGAGCCCTGCAGATAAAGGATAACTGTACTTTGTTTAAAAATCGTTAAAGGATAAGTTCACCTTTGAAGCATTGTACATATTACATCTGTATTTAGGGTGTAACCTGCTCCAAGTCTCCCCTTCACCCCATAAGCAGTCCCCCTCCCTGTTACAGTGAATGGAGATTCTCTCCCTGCACCCGCTGTCACATTTCAAAATCAATGTGACTGTGCAGGGCTCCGCCCACACAGCCGCATCATTCATTCACAGCACCCTGTGAATGAGAACACTATAAGTCCTGTCTGCCACTGCGGCCCTCATAGTTCATTCGCAAGCCCTGCAGCTTTCTAAATCCTGTGCAGAGATGCAGGCAAAAAGTTGTAGGACTTGTCTACAGGAACGTGGCATTGCACTTGCGATCCACTGCTTATGGATGCAATGCTTTGCAGGCTCCTTGGGGGAAAAAAAATAAGTAGTGCACATTTTTTTTTCTGCAAAAAAAATATATGAATTTATTAATTTTTCTTCAAAGGTGAAAAATTTGTTCTATATGTTCTGTACAAATACTCCCAATAGGCTTATTTAATAATTTACAATACAATGTAAAGGCGGATTGCTATGTACTTTCCTAACTGTTACACCCATAAAATGTTTAATTGATCATACAATAGGTAAAGCTTTAGACTGGCAGACATTGGTGCATTTGTAGAACTGACACCATTTTCTTTGTGGAGACAGTCCTTGTCTTTAATAATTCACAGATCGCTGCTGCTCCATAATTCAGAGAAAGCTTTCACTAGTCATCTGTTCATTTCTTCAAGGCAGGATGTATGTAAACTCTTTTTGAGCAAGTAAAGCATATGCATAAAATGAATATTGATTTAACTTCAAACATTTTTTTAATCTCATTGATAATCCTCATCTATGTAAATTATTTAATATGTCTCCTCCCCTTCCCAAAAAAACAACAAAGACCAGTTCATTAGAAGTATTGCTATGAGCTGCACAGCATGAGAGGATGCAGAATTTTCTCCCTTGGGGCTGCTTTCCTCTCTTGCAGCTAGTATGCCCACAAAACTCAATGTATAGTTTATCAATATTGCCAGTAGAAGTTGGCTGTAATGATCAATGTGTTGTGATCTCTTGATTCTGACTACACAAATGCCTCCCTCTCCTTATATCTATGACATAAGAAGGAATGATTATGTGGTTCACATAAGGTAGCTGGGAAAGCTGATAACATTGTTTGCATTTTCTGAAATTACGAGGACATGGGATTTCTAGATTAATAGGTATTTTTCTGTACTTGCAGAAACTTTACCTAGTCTAGTCTGAAAAAAATAAACTGTTGCAGCCACCCCATCTAAAGCCTTGTAGGCTGCCTATGACAAGACAAAAAACCCCCAAAAAGTAACACATGCAGTTTTGTGTAGCAAGTGGTATCAGCCCTGCCCTGCTATCATTTGCTAATCCACCTAAAACATCCCTCTTTCCTATTATCCACAACATAGAGATCAATCATTACATCTTATTCCTCATCCTCTAAAGTTAAAGAGCATTTAATCATATGCAAAGCTGGGTTCATTTATGGGGTTTATATATGCCTGTTCCCACTGGCAGGTCACATATATGCGGCCTCTTGGTGGGTGAACTTTAACACTGAGAGGCTGCATATATGTGTTCCAATTGTAAACATTTCTGCGCTGAGAGTCCGCACCCTGTGATCTCCCAGCATACTTACTGGCAGGTGCTAGAAAGCTCTCGACGCCCATTTGCGATTGGGAGCTTCCTGATCATGTGATCTCTGTGACTGCCATCCCAGTGGTCACATGATCGGAATGCCTTCCTCTTAAAGGGTCGTGAGCCTGCGGCTGGAAGGGGTTAATAAAGTGGCCACTGTGTTTGTATTCATTTGCAGCCACAGCCATTACTCCTTCTAAATTTGTTACACATTTTCAGGTATGTTAGCATCTCCTCACTAGTAGAAGTTTGTCAGTTAGTATTTTGAAGCGCAGAATGACATGGTTCTGCGTCAGTTGAGAAAACCGCAATTGGCAGCCCATGCCTGTAGAAGCTTGCAGTCTCAAAAGAGCTCCAAGCACACACTGTTGGCATATAGTACAAAGGGCATTACCTATAGCAAACGGCTGAATCCGTCTCCAGCTGACCTGAAATCCGTATCATTTTAATTCCTGTGCTTTCTTAAGGATTACAGTCCTCTTAAGCTTAGCACTTTGCTTCTTGCACTGTTCATTAAATACGCTTGACTGTTTTCGTGCAAAAGGGAGTTGATTTACTGCTTAACATCAGGGGAACAAGTCCTAAAATGTTGAACCACCTACAGTACATATTGTCACACTGAGACTATATTTAATTTCAGTTCTCAGATTTTCTCAGGATCACAGTCCTAAACCAAGCCAAAAGCTGACCCCTAGTGGTGGCTGCATGATGCCTGTGCAAATATGGTATGGACCACTACACCATCAAGTAATCTTAAAGTGCATGTCAAGGCAAAACAAAAAATATTTTTAGCACCTATCTGCAATACATGCACATTTCCCCATGTTGTATCCCATTAAACATGCTGCAAGTGCAGAACAATAAGTGTTGATGTGCCACAAGTGTAGTATGCTCCTTCCTTCTCTTTGGCATGACAACGCAGCTCTAAATTCCTAGGCATGTGGTGTCATCACTGCCCACTTCATTTCTGATGGATTAAAAAAGAACGCATACCTCTCTCCTTTTCTTCCCCTTTTCCACATCTCAATAACTCCTCCTTGTACACAGGCAGAGAGCACAGGAATATATCAGCTCTCAAGATTTCTGGCTAAATCAACAGGCTTTTTTTTTTGCGTATATTCAACAGATATAACCAAAATATTTCCATATTTATCAGACCAAAAGACAGCAAATAAGAGATGTGCAACTTGTCATGCGATTTTGGACATCAAAGTCTCAGCCCATTATTTTCAATGGCTCCCATTGACAACGTTGCAACTTTGAAAAGGTGCCTGCACTACTTTGATGTGACTTTGATCCAGAGAGTGTAAAGTTGCACAGGTGTGAATGGAGTCTAAAGTGGAACTAAACCCATTTATTTAACAAAGTCCCAAAACCGTTACATTCAGTGCATGCTGTCAACTGACCTGTCAAGCTATTAAATGGATGGTGTTATAACTGATCACATATGCAACACATGGCAAGTGCAGATCAAACGGGCTACGATGGCAGTTTCCTTGGCTGTAAAGGATAGGAGGCTTTAATTCCACTTTCAAACATTAGAATAGCTGGTGTGTACAAACGTCTTTTGTTTTAAGACCAAAATAAAGTCACACCAACACATTATAACAAAAGAACAAACTGTGGCGGAGATTTACTAAAACTGAAACACTCAGACTCTGCTGCAACTGTGCATGGTAGCCATTCAGCTTCTATTATTATTATTATTATTATTATTATTACTACGAGTTTATATAGCGCCAAAGGGTTTGCTCAGCGCTGTACAATAGGGGGGGACAATACATGGCACAGTACAACAAAGACAGATAGCGTACGAGGGGTAAGAGGGCCCTACTCTTACGAGCTTACAATCTAGGAGGGAGGGGGTAAAGGTACAGTAGGAAGTGGCTGGGGGGGATGAAGTGGTAGGAGGAATGAGGGAGGATGGCCGTTAGGTGAGGGTGGGGTAGGCTTCCCTGAAGAGATGGGTTTTGAGGGAGCGCCTGAATGTGAATAGAGAAGGCGACAGTCTGATGGATTGGGGCAGTGAGTTCCAGAGGATGGGGGAGGACCTGGAGAAGTCCTGCAGTCGTGCATGGGAGGAGGAGACCAGGGAGCAGGATAGAAGGAGGTCCTGTGAGGAGCGAAGGGTACGGGTAGGGTGGTACCTGGTGATCAGATTGGTGAGGTAGTCAGGGGCAGTGTTGTGAACGGCTTTGTAGGTCAGGGTAAGGAGTTTAAATTTGATGCGTTGGGCAATCGGGAGCCAGTGGAGGGAGAGGCAGAGGGGGGTGGCAGAGGTGGAGCGGTGGTAAGGTGGATGAGTCTGGCAGCTGAGTTCAGGATGGTCTGGAGCGGGGAGAGCCTGCACTTGGGTAGGCCAGTGAGGAGGGAGTTGCAGTAGTCAAGGCGTGAGATGATGAGGGAGTGTACTAGAAGTTTGGTGGTGTCTGGGGTGAGGAAGGAGCGGATCTTGGCTATCTTCAGCTTGTTCATTTAAGCTTTGACAATAAAACCTGGAAGCTGATTGGTTTCTCTGCACGGCTGTACCAGATTTGCACTCTCCAGTTTTAGTACATCAACCCCACTGTATAGTATATATTACATCACCAGCTGTTATATGAGGAATTAATAAAATATTATGTCATAACAAAAATGTTAATGATAATCACAAAAGCAGACACAGTTCATGGGGGGTGCTTCTCGGCTTGCTTATGAGATGCTCCCAGGTCCTATGGAGGTCCTTCTGACCTGAATTTCACATGGCCATCGCATTGGCTGCATTTGGATTCCCATCGAAACAAACAAAAAACACCGTGTACAAAAGTATTTAAATGGTACAAGAGTTAAGCTATGATAATGTCATTGAATCTGAACCCTTGATATGCTGGCATGTAAAAAGGCTCTCCAGTTTTCTCTTTTTTTTTTGCAGTGTTGTTCCTGTTCCTCTGTATTGGTATGATTGCTCTGTAATTGTTCACCTACAGTATTCTTCCAGTATAAATGGTTGTCATTTTCTTGAGGCAGAGCTTTAACATTTAATGTGTCACTCTTAAAATAGTTCACATATGTTTATTTATCTGACAATGAGAAGATGTTGCTTTTAATCTTTCCATAGATAATGATTTACCTTATAGACAAAGTGCTGCCGGATAGTTACTTTGTCAATAATCTGCGAGCGCTTTCCGTGGATATGGCTGTATTTAGGGATCTCTTGAGAATGAAGCTACCAGAACTATCTCGCCACCTGGATGTGCTTCAGAAAACTGCAAACAAGGAGAGTGGTGGTATGTGGACTTATTAGATATGCAGTGTTTCATCATGCCCTGTTCTGTCTCTCCAATCTAAGCATTGATAGCGTGATCTCTGTAACTTACAATTGTGATGAGATAGCGATAACTTCAACCTCAGTTGGATACCACAGTCACTGACTCAATCGATAAGACATCTTTTGAAGTTTATTCCATAAACTGGGAGAATCTTACAACAATGAACATTCGATAGGTCAAAAGATCATAATGTTTTCTGCTCCATGACATGAGGCTAGAGCTGCAATGCATTTCTAGGAAAGGGGGAGGGCTATCTATACAGCATTAACTAAACCAAAGGAAAGGGAGGAGCAGAAACAAAATATAGAAACTCGTAAAGGCATATGACTGTAATAGGGCATGTCATGTTTCACATGACTGTCATATTGACTAAGGAACACCCTGAAACATGCTTAATTTTTATATATTTTATTAACGGGTACCTTTTTATAAAGGCATAATTCCTTTTTAAAGCTTTTGCAGTTCATGTCTTAATGATTTGCAAACCCTGGTGACTTCTGTCTCCATTAATGCAGACAAGTCTGATGGATATTTCTGGCTGCATGAAGTCTTGTGCTTGAAGTACATAAAAGATAGATACTTTTCAGAGCTAATTAGTGATTAAAGCTTTACACGGTTTGTTAATCAGTGAAAAATAAGAGCCTGTTAAAACTGTGAAGAAAAAAAAAAATCAGCGGCAGCTCTAAAATACAACTTTGGTATTTGGTTTCAGTGATTATATTAATAAAATTCTCTGTGCATCAAATCTGTGGGCTTGCTATCAAAACATAGGCTCATTCATATAGAGATACATACATGAGATCCTCACCTAATCTGGCTGAATGTGAATACAGGCATGCAGATAAGAAGAAAACAAAATAAGCAAAAATAGTTTAAAATGTTTAGAAATCTAAAAAATTTTATTTGTATTTTGCAGGAGGTTATGAGCCCCCACTTACGAATGTCTTCACTATGCAATGGTTCCTGACTTTGTTTGCAACCTGTCTTCCGAATCACACTGTTCTAAAGATCTGGGACTCTGTGTTCTTCGAAGGTTCAGAGATCATTCTAAGGGTGGCACTGGCAATTTGGGCAAAGCTGGGAGAGTAAGTTTGGCTCAATCCCAAAATCGAATTAATTAATAAAGCATTAATATTTTTAATTCAATGTTTTTTTGTGAACTCTTTTATATTTGAGGTATGTGTAAATTGACACTTGCAATACAAAGAAAAGAGGATAGAGAGATGTAAAAACAGGGGAAATTGAGAAGTGAAAGGTTGAAAAAAAATAAAAAGGAGAATGGGGAAAGAGAGGGGATGAAAAAGAAAGACATAGGAGCTCTAATTAGGGGTTGTGGGGGGCTGGGAGTGGTGTAAATGCACTGTTTAATATAATACAAGCTGTACAATCTGAGAATGTGTGATTGATCTCATGAAGCTGTCATTGATGGTAATCTACCCATTAATAGGAGTTGGATTCCCACTGGGAGGCCCTGTGAATGGAATAAATGTCATAGTTGTTTGACCACCATTTTCTTGCATCTAAGTACATTTTGCCATTCCATACTGGCTGTTGAGCTATAGGACCCCTGGGGACTGATGCCCACCGATGGATATTTTGGCATGTGAGACTGCTCTTTAAACTCTTCCAGTCCAATGTGCGAGCCACCTACAAGTCATTGGGGCTTTCAGCTCCTAACTTAATCCATTATTATTAGTGTGGCCTTTACCTTCACGAGATGTATATTGTTCCTTGATGGATCTTGGTCTCTTTAACCAAATTCTTTAATGCGCTTATTCTGCCCTTCAGGTGCTCCCTTTGATGGGTGCACTTATGGTAGATGTCAGGGGGGACAACCATAATCTCCACTGCATCACCCTTCAATACATATAAAGTGTAAAACTCCCAAATGCTATCCTTCAGCTTTTTGGGTTCATTCATAGATCCAAGACTGTTATGCAGATCTGTCACTACAGCTTCAAGGTTACAAACCATATGCTGTTCCCTCTGCATCTCCCAGTCTGTAGCTTTTAGCTTTTGTTTCAAGCTTAGTTATGTTGAGGTCCAGCTGGGTGTTTTGCTTGTGTTACAGTTCAACTTCCATCCCTTGAAACTGCCCTTTCATCTCTTTGATCTGATTTTCTCTAGTTTCAATTTGCTTCTCCAACACCTTGTTTTTATGGTCCAGAACAAATTTTAATTTCTCCAGTTCCCTTCTTTTCCATGTTATAAAGTCTCCTTGTTCTCTTTAGCCTGGATCTTGCTCGCTCGCTCTCTCGATCGATCTCTCGCTCGCTGTCGATCGATCTCTCTCTCGGTCTCTCCCTCTCTCGATCTCTCTCTCTCGACCCTGGATGTCCTCCAGAGGCCTAATCACACCCTGCTGTTCTATCTTCATATTTTCAATATTTTTGTCCTTCTGGAGGCTGCTGATCATCCTAAAAAAGCAATTCTCCCTATTTAGCTACAGTTCACTTTCTCTCACAGATGGTTCCCATATTTAACTTTTACATCTTGGATCATCTTGTTAAAATCTCTGTGGTGTTGTCAGGATTCCTCCTGGACCTGCTGCAGCTGGGTTACCTGTTATGAAGTTTCATCTCCCATTACTCTGTCAGTTTCTCTAGGGCTTGGCTTTTACTCTTCTTCAGCTCGTGCAGCTGATGCTGATTTCCCTCCGGCATCCTCTGTGATTTCACCTGCAGCTCCTGGTGCTTTTTATACCCCATCAGCAGCTTCAGGTTTTTGACCATTTCTTGCATCTTCCAAGAATACATTAGATTCAGCCATGCCCTCCTGATGTTTCAGCTCTTGTTTCTTACCTTCAGCATTTGTAATCTGGTTTGTCATCTTCAGCACCTCTCCATTTCCTGGGATAAAGTTTTAGTTCAGCCTGTCATAATTTATATCCTTCAGTTTGTTCTCAGTTTTCAGTTCACACACAGGTCTGTCCTCCACATGGGACTTTACTTCAATCATCACCTGGTACTTCACCACTAGGTTAGACTTGCTAATTGGAACTTTCTCAGCATACCCCAATTCCTTATCTCTTTTGAGTCCTTGACCCTCCTTGTTGGAAATTTTTCTAAGCAGTAGGCATTGAGAAATGGATAGAAGCTACTTGTGGTCACATGAAATAAAACCACTAACTTGGTGACTGGCCCTGCATGGACTTGGTTCTTGTTATACTACCTCTGTGGGGGAAAGAGGTATTTCATGGATCTTACAGTGCTCATAAATATGATCCTTCCAGAGAGAGATGGAAAGATTCCATTTGGGAGACCCTGAGTGAGCCATCAGGTAGTTTGGAGTAAGAAGAGAAGGCGATTCTGACAAATATCTGAGACATTTTTTAAGTGTGCTAAGCACTTTATGAAGTGGCATGGAGGTTAGGTCATAGATGGTGATAGTGGTTTTATCTAGGCCTTTCTCGGACATGGCAAGATATTGGCAGTTTTGGCTGATGACCTTCAGCTACCCTGGTCTGGCCGATTCAGGAGTAGGGAGATTTCTGGCATTCACCTGAATGGAAAGCTGTAGTTTGGTGTTCTACAAAATTGCTGAAATCTGGAAAACCTGCACTTTCTGCCTACTCTACCACCAGCTACCCTGTAAAATAGTTTTTTTTATTGATATGCCATTTAAAATATGTTGACAAATGTAAATGATAAAGTCTTTCTTTACTATAGATGCCCTTTATATATTTCTTCCATATCTGTGCAACACTCCAGCAGGAAACCACTTCAGTACTTTGCCTCTATACAGGAGTTTCCTGTAATACAGACCAATCATTTTATCTCTCTCCTTGTACAGGATGACTGGTCTTGACTCCACCCCATGTAGTTTACCACAGGTAGCCTGTAGCTGGAAGACCGGCTGGGTCCTTGTCCACATCTCTGTTCTCTGCACAGGCTATATGCAGGCCAGTGATGAGATCATCACTATTTTTACAATGAAATATCTGGGATTGTAAAAGTATTTGTTGTACACAAAGTGGATTAATATCCTCTGTGTCTATTGGGAAATATATTTAAAGGAAAGTTTTTATGCCTATGGGTTCCTTTTAATGTTTATATAAGCCTGTAATCTATTTTTCAGTAAGTTTGGCATTGTGCATTACTATGTACAGTTTTCATAAAGTGGGTGTAAAGGTAAAACATTTTTTGTTCAGTTTTGGATGAAATAGGGAATGGTTAGACTCTCTCTCAAGTTTTGTTTGCTGTCAGTGTCAGTATAGAAGTGAAGGAAAAAAACTACGTAATGAGACAAAGACAGCAAAAAATAAACTTGCAGGGGTTTTAAACCTCTCCTACTCTATCCAAAACTTAAAATGTTTCGCTTTTTCTGATCCTATTGCAAAGTTTGTTACCTTGAAATCTTGCCAGTAACAGCAATTTCTGTTGCAGGCTGAAAGTGCTAAGTCATGGCTTCAGTCAGGAACAGCATTGTCAGTTTGGTGTGTGTGGCCAACATTGTTTGGTTGCTGGGCTGCCCATTAAGTCTAGCTTATAGACATCTCAATAGTCAATAGCGTTTATACAGCAGGCTGACAACAGCGCTGCTAATTGCAAGATAGTGGATCTGTGTTGTCAGCCTACAACAGCAAGTGCGGTTACTGACAGAATTTGCAGGTAAGCATTTGGTAGCTTTGCAACAGTGAAGTATTATTCCAAATATACTGAAACTACATTTTAGGTTTACATACACTTTTGTGCATTCATTTTTGTATTTCTTTTCTGGCAGCATTTAAAGTATAACTAGGCAAAACATTTTTGTTTTTTAAATTTGAATAGAATGGAGAGGGATTAGAATCCCTGTCAGGTTTTTTTTTTTTTTTTTTTTGCTATCTCTGCCCCTGTTAACCACTTCAAGTCCGGACACTTTTACCCCCTTCCTGCCCAGGCCAATTTTCAGCTTTCAGCGCTGTCATACTTTGAAGTGCGTGGTCATGCAACACTGTATCCATATTCATTTTTTAGCATTTTTTTGAGACCGATAAAACTTTATTTTGGTGGTATTTATTCACCATTGAAATTTTTTTTTTTTTTTTTTGCTATATAAATGAAAAAGTCCAAAAATGTTGAAAAAAAGTGTTTTTCTTATAAAATTTTGCAAATAAATAATCTTTCTTCATAAATCTTGGCCAAAATTTATTCAGTTATCTTTTTAGTAAAAAACAATAACCCAAATTAGTTTTTATAACCAAAAATGTATAATTTTTCAAACTTTTTTTTTACATTTTTATTTTGACACTGTACTACTTATGGGGGGAGATTGAACATTTTTTTTTTTTCCACCCTGATTGCTTTTACACCCATAAAGGCTGTAAAAGCAATCATTTCTCTTTCTCTCTGACTGCATTCTTGCAGCCATTGAGAAATACTGTGCGAGTTGTGATTGGCCACAGCTTGTCACATGGTACAAGGCTGTTGTGAATAGCCTTGTACCATATGACCTCTGTCATCATTCACAGATTTCACTAGCCGTAAGCAATGATGTCAGAAGTGACATCTTGTTGACTACTGTGCATGTGATCACTGATTGGCCAATTAGTGATCACATGATCGGGACCTCACACAGAGGTCCCGTACAGCAATCGGTGTCCTCTGGACACAGCAGGCATCGGATCGTGGTGCCACGCACTTCCAGGGAGCGCGCACAGGCTAAAATGGCAGGCGCCGTTTATAAACAGCAACCCGCCCCTGCACTGCTCCTTCTGGCCGTTTATATACATGGGCCGGACAGGAAGTGGTTAAGGAGATTCACCCTTTCTAGTTGTCCTGTTCACCATGATCAATGAAAGTGCAAGTAATGAAAATCCAAATTTTGGGTTGTTCCCAGAAAAGTAATAGAGGGGAAATCTTCCAATGCGGACACTAGTTTTGGTGACCTGGGGATCTCCAAGAGATTCCCTTGTTTGCAGGGATTTACTTTCACTTCCTGTTTGGCTATGGGACAGGAAGTAAATGGAAATCTCCGAATTGGGACACAGCGAAAAAAAAAAATCTGACATGGGTTATAACCCTTTCTTTCTGTATTCAAAATAAAAAAAAGAAAGTTCTACTTTAAAGCTGAACTTTAGGCAGATTAAAAAACACCAAATAATACAGTTCATAAAATTAATAAATGTTTAAATGTAGCTAATGCAAGTAACTTAATCTGTTCTGGTACTGGTATCAGTTTCTTGCAATCCCATGTAATGTAGAATTTGGAGTGGTAGTGACTGGATGGGATGTGGGGGCAAGAAGTGACTTTAGCTGTCTGCGTAGGCAGATGTGAAGTCCCCAACCAGACAGTGCTGTCTAGCAGGGCTTTCAAAGACTTAGGACTGGAAGAACAGGTTTACATATACAGAAAAAAAGCTACCTTACACCTGTTTCAATGCTGCATTTAGCTGTTTGACAGGAGGTCAGTTTTATTGTTGGCTTAGCTCTTTGAAAAAAAAGTGTGATTTGGGATGACCATTTTATGGTGTTAAACTGTGCTACAGTCATTTAAGGGATAAATACTGAATTCCAGCTGTCTGCTTAATGGAGTGTATCCTGAAGTTGCATAACAAGATAATGGTGTCTATGTTACAGGCAGATTGAGTGTTGCCAGAATGCAGATGAATTCTACAGTATGATGGGCAAACTGACGCAGGAGATGCTTGAAGACAATCTACTAGATAGCCATGAACTGATGCAGGTGTGTATGCAGTATGAGATTCAATATACTTTTTTCACTTTCTGAGTTCCCACTTAACAGTTTTTTGCCCTGCCAACTCTGTGATCTTTCCTTGAAGCAGACCACGATACAAACCGGTACAGGGGCCTGCTGGTCTACTGCAATAAAAAATTACAGTATGTTACAATGCAGTTTTCACTGGTATACTGTGATAGTAGCACCATTCTGAATTATGTTCTTTAATTCCAGAACTTGAGGTGTAACTCCAGCTCTCATACCTGTAAACCCTTCAATGATTTGTTTACATTCCAGCTGTATGCCTATTGATTCATCTGTAGCTTTGATGCCCAAGATACCCAAATGATACATCATTTTTTTTTGTGAACATACAAGAATCCTCTTGCAATATTTATTTTATATTAACCCCCCCCCCCCCATTTTAACCAGTGAAATGTGTACAACTTGTGTTCCTGTTGCTAAAAAGTTGACATTTTATTTTCCCTTTTTATAAAATCACTAAAAAAATCCTGCTTCTGGTACAAAGCATGGTAAAGTTCTTTCATTCTTTTTTGTATTAAAAAAATTGTAAAGGGCTTGAGGGCCCATTAAGATTGAGTTGCAGTTAAATTCACATTGTACAAATAGGTTAAATAGGAAAATTTTTTGTTTAAAAAAATGAAATTGTAAAGTTGATAAGTACAGAGCAATTTGATCTAAAAGCTCTAAAAATAGCAATATTGTTATAATGTGTTTTTAAATGCAGCCTGCAATCCGTGATTGCAGCTGCATTATTAGGGAAGCTGCTGTAAGCATTCCTATCAGAAGGAAGTCAAACTGACTGCAACTTATACTGTATCACCCTTTTCTGTTTATGCCCCCCCTTACACCCTCACCACCAGTGGCATCTAGTAAAAAAATTGCCCCACCTCCACTGTTTTAAAAATGGGCCAGCTGGATTCCCCTTTAATGCAAATGTCCCATTTTCTGTTGCCATTGCTGTTATTTTATAGTGTGTGGAGGCGGGGGGTCACAAAGGAAAATGTCATCAACATAGTTGAGTACTACTTGGCTACTAGAAACTTTTGGGCCATTGAACGCTTTGGTTGGAAGAATATAATATACAGCACAATTTGCAGGGTGCAGGGCTCAGGACTATGTAGTGAAGAACATTAGAGTATAGAGTGCAGGAGTGTAGAATATTCAGCAAACGGCATAAAGTAAAAATTGCACTGGTTAAAAGCAAGTACCTACATGAATTCCTAGAGTGCAAAGTTTAAGAATATATAACCTACAACATAACCTATATAGTGCAGCAGTCAGGAACTATAGTGTGTGTATAGTGCATTGGTCAAAGCAATGTATATAAAACAGAGCGTATGGAGTACAGTGCTACAAAATATTCAACATACAAGATAATATATTGGGTGCAGGGTAAGAGTATATTACATACAAGATAGGACACAGAGTGCAGGCTTCTTCAGTAAGCAATTTATAACACCATGTATGAGGTGCAGCGTTCAGGGGTGTGTAAGGTACTGCCCCCAACATTTGCTGGTCAGTTGGAGAAAGAATGCCTAGCAGACAGTCCGTGAACAGTGGAAATGTAATCATGTCCTGTGTCCGTGGCCAGTGAGAGGAAAATTGCCCTGGCATCCATTGTCAGTTGCAGGGAATAATGTCTCAGCTCCAGTAGTCAGTGGTACTGACACTCTGCAGACAGGGGCTTGAATGTGTGGCCTTCTTATTGTGGGGGGATTGAGGCCATTACCTCAATTATCTTGCTCTTCATCAAGCCCTATGTGAAAGTACGTAGACCCACCAGAGGATTCTCCAGTCCTAAGTTGGTTTATTGTGGTTCAATAAATAGTAACCAGAGGAAGCAGAAGGTACATTTTTTTTTTTTTACTCAAAATAATTTTTATTAATACTGCCGTGATTTATGGTATGTCTAGATAAGCACTATATGCTTTTATCTTACTTTTATATGCAGGGTTGTAGGGTGTGTTCTTCTACTTCAAGCTGTTCAGTGAGTACAGTGGTACTTGTTAGAACACCTTAAAGTAAACCACTGCTTGTCCCATGCAGGACAAAGCAACAAGTTACCTACTTATCCAATGTGTAAGCTACGATTTGCTTACTCAGGACTATGACCTGCTCTGATTGGTCTATTGCTGCCACTCAGAGAGTCACATGCTTCTCCATACATATTTTCTATAGCTATTGGTGCTGAATGGAGAAGTGTGTGTGTGTGTGTGTGTGTGTGTGTGTGTGTGTGTGTGGTGGGGGGGGGGGGGGGGGGTCGCAAAGAAGGAAGATATGAATAAGCTGGGAATATGTAGGTGATCAAAGCAAACCTGCTGCCTTGAATTTCTTGTACAGTGGAATATTAGGCAGACCAATAAATAAACAGTTGAAATAAAAATTGTGTGGCAGACAAAATGAAAAACAAGTAATTATGTACAGCAAGTCTTGTGATTTACACACCTCTCCCACACTGCACAGCCAGGATGACCACTCTACTTTTTTCAGTCTACTGGTTCCACTTCACCTTAACCACATGAGTACCAGCCTGCATTAATTCAATTTTTTTTATTTGACATTTCTGGATATACAGTATGTTAATAGCTGAGGTCCTTGATGTGTCTGAACACCTGAAATTTGCCTAAAGAGTTACCATACACATCCTCTCTGTTTTATGTAGATTTTACAAGTAGGCCTCAAATAACAGCATTTGGTCATTTATTGCTGGTATATACTATGTATACTATGTGCGAGGTAATTTTATATAACTACATCAATGTAAAATGTGTGTATGTATTTTTGTGTGTGTGTGTATATACAATATTATTTATTGTATGTGTGTGTATATATGTGTGTGTATATGTGTGTGTATGTATGTATGTATGTATATATATATATATATATATATATATATATATATATGTGTGTGTGTATGTGTGTGTGTTTTTTGTGTGCGTGTAATTTTCATTTTAGATGCCGACAATGAATGCAGATGTTTCCCAAGTAATATTTTCATTTGCTTTTGCTTTCTCTAGACTGTTTACTCCATGGCTCCTTTCCCTTTTCCACAACTTGCAGAGCTGAGGGAGAAGTACACCTATAACATCACACCTTTCCCAGCACCTGTTAAGTCTGCTTCATTCTCTGGGTATGTAGTTATGACATTTTGTGCTTCACACCAATAATGACACTGCCAGTTTTAGAAAGGTTACATATGGGATGTGTACGTGTTAGTATCATCTAACACGGGGTCTCCAAACTTTCTAAACAAAAGGCCAGTCTGCAATCCTACAGATTTTAGCAGGGCCAGACTTTGACCAGTTGGAGTAGAAGATGCTCCAGCATCAGTGGTCATAAATAATGCTCTATTATTGGTTTGAAAGGAAGCAATAGTGCCCGATCATTAAATTGGATTGAATGGAAGGAATAGTGCCCCATTGTTGGTATCAATGGGAAGAATAGTGCCCCATCAACATTGTTAGTTGGTGGAATAGTGCCCCAAGGGCCAGATAAAGGCAAGCCAAGGGCCACATCCAGCCCCTGGGCCAGAGTTTGGAGACCACTGCTCTAACAGGAAAAATGCAGGACTTGGGCTATGTGGATGACCTATCTTTGATGTTACACTCATTAAGTGATATAAGCATCAAGCTTTAGTGGTCAAGAAAACCTGTATCTTCAAAACAATGTTTTTAAAAGGGTCAATAGATTTCCTGGATAGACAGCAGTGGAGGAATCATGATTTACAGAATCTTGGAAGACCAAATCCCTTTGCTATCCTTAGCATAATATGCTGATCTCTGGTATAGTGACCTGTAAATTTGTACAAGAAAGTGAAAATACTGTTACTATATGGGTGCAAAATGTGGAAGACAACTTACCAGGCAACCACTAGTCATGCAAAATAGTTCTAAAAAAAATATATACCTTGACTGGAACCCTTCACATGTTTTAAAAAGGGCAAAACTTGGGAAAAACAGTTACTGCTTAAAGTGATATTAAAGTATATGTAAACCCTCATCTTATAAAACAACCTATACAGTTTAAAATAGAAATCAAAGGTAAAACATTTGTGTACAGATATAAAAACATTACAAATACCTTTTCCCCCTGTTTTTACAAGTGACCACATACCCTCTGTTCTGAGCTGCATAGAGATCTGGGGAGGAGAAACAACAACACACTGGCCTTTCCAGTGAATGGCTGTGCAGGGTGAGGCAGAAGTCTGATCATTGGAGGAGAGCACATTGAGTTCCCAGCAAAGCTAGAGAACTGACCATGCCTATGCTCTCATGCACAATACACCATAATATAATGACAGTGTATTATTCAAAAAAATAAAAGTAATAAAGTGTGAGTCCGGAAAAGATAATTATTTAATAAATATTAAACATCCTCCAAAAGAAGTGCAGTGCTGTGTAGCTCTTCTTAAAAACACCCAGTGACACCAAATCCTTGCAAAAGGTCAACAGCTTACCAGATGACATAAACCTATGATACAGTTGCAAGAAAAAGTATGTGAACCCCTTGGGATTACGTGGAGTTTTGCATGAATTGGGCATAAAATGTGCTCTGAACGTCATCTAAGTCACAACAATAGAAGAACACAGTCTGCTGAACATAATACTACACAAACATTAGATGTTGCCATGGTTTAATTGCACATAACATGTAAACATTCACAGTGCAGGGAGGAAAAAGTATGTGAACCTTTGGACTTAATAACTGGTTGACCCTCCTTTGGCAGCAATAACCTCAACCAAACGTTTCCTGTAGTTGCAGATCAGACCTGCACAACGATCTGGAGTAATTTTGGACCACTCCTCTTCACAAAACTGTTTCAGTGTAGCAATATTCTTGGGATGTCTGGTGTGAATCGCTCTCTTAAGGTCATGCCACAGCATTTCAATCGGGTTGAGGTCAGGACTCTGACTGGGCCACTCCAGAAGGCGTATTCTGTGCTGTTGCAGCCATTGTTTTGTTGAATTACTTGTATGCTTTGGGTCATTGTCCTGTTGCCTCACCCATCCTCTGCAGAGCTTCAGTTGGCGGACAGATGGTCGTACGTTTTCCTGCAAAATGTCTTGATAAACTCTGGAATTCATTTTCCCATCAATGACAACAATCCATCCAGGCCCTGAGGCAGCAAAGCAGCCCCAAACCATGATGCTCCCTTCGCCATGTTTTACAGTGGGGATGAGGTTTTGATGTTGGTGTGCTGTGCCTTTTTTTCTCCACACATAGTGTTGTGTGTTCTTCCCAAACAACTCAATCTTGGTTTCATCTGTCCACAGTATATTTTGCCAGTAGTGCTGTGGAACATCCAGGTGCTCTTTTGCATACTTCAAACGTACTGCAATATTCTTTTTGGACAGCAAAGGCTTCCTCCGTGGTGTCCTCCCATGTACTCCATTCTTGTTTAATGTTTTCCTTATTGTAGATGTGTCAACAAAAATGTTAGTATGTGCCAGAGATTTCTGTAGGTCTTTAGCTGACACTCTGGGATTCTTCTTTACCTCATGCAGCATTCTGCGCTGTGCTCTTGCAGTCATTTTTACAGGACGACCATGCCTAGGGAGAGTAGCAACAGTGCTAAACTTTCTCCATTTGTAGACAGTCTGTCTTACCGTGGACACATGAACATCAAGGCTTTTGGAGATACTTTTGTAACCCTTTCCAGCTTCATGCAATTCAACAATTCTTGATCGTAGGTCTTCTGATAGCTCTTTTCTGCGAGGCATGGTTCACATCAGACAGTGCTTCTTGAAACCAGTAAACCCAAAACAGGTGTGTGTTTTTTAAGGGCAGGACAGCTGTCAGCAACACATCCAATATCATCACACTGATTGGAGTCAAAGTTGGCTCACTCCTGGCTCCAATTATCTCTGGGAGAAGTCATTAAGCTAGGGCTTCACATACTTTTTCCTCCCTGCACTGTGAATGTTTACATGTTATGTGCAATTAAACCATGGCAACATCTAATATTTGTGTAGTATTATGTTCAGCAGACTGTGTTCTTCTATTGTTGTGACTTAGATGCCGTTCAGAGCACATTTTATGCCCAATTCATGCAAAACTCCACGTAATCCCAAGGGGTTCACATACTTTTTCTTGCAACTGTATAAAGCAAATGGTCTACATGTGCCTTTAGGGTTGTTCTGGCCACCATCTTGCCAAAAGGACCATCTGTGCCGCAGTCTTTATATCCAACAGAGTTGCTCAGTATCTCTCAAAAATAAAAACACAATGCCGACCCATCGTGTAAAACTGTATGAAAATACTTTATTACTTAAAACAAAGTATTGAACTTCCATTCCAGCGCATCATACCACATCATAGGAAGCGTTCCCACAGTTTGCTGAAAGGAATGTCCAATCGTCTTTATTTATAAGTACATGGTGCAGTAGGCACATATCAGGAATATGAAATGTTGGGTTTACATATTCTTTAATGTGATTTTATTTCTCTTTTTTTCAAATTCTTTTGCAATAACTTGACCTTGCAAAGTGTTCCTTTGTGTCTGCATCAGTTGGTCTTCTTAGCACTGGTTGTGATATATGGATGGAAGGTAGTTCCTTTCTCTTGTAGGGCTCTATTGAGCCACCCTTGTGTGCATGTTTTCAACTTGTGTCCATAGCACAAGACAGGCCTTGAAATTTCTGCTCACCAATGGCAGGTGGAAATTATGGTGGGGGGGCGAGTGTGTCCCCCAGGGCCGTCTTGCTGAGCAGGCTCAGAGCTCAGACTGGATCTGTCATTGGCACTGGGAGCCGTCAGACTGCTCAATAGCAGTGAAAGCAAAGGAAGGAGTGTGTGCTGTGCTCTCTGCCTCCCCCTAGAGTGCAGTACCCGGCTCTGAGAGTGAACAACAAAGTACTGCAACTTTTTATAGGGGGGTGTGTGCGCACCTACCTAATTTCAGCTCACTCTGGTCACATGATCCTCTATGTCAGCTAGTGGTGGCTTCAGGGGAGAGGAGAGAGCACTTAACAGTGTGCGTGTGTGTGTCAAGGTGTGTGTGTTTTGTTTGTGTCTGTGTATGCATGTACATGTGACTGTGTGTATCTGTACATGTGTCTGCACGTATGTACGTGTGTGTGTGCATGTACACGTGTGTGTGTGTTTGTGTATGTACGTACAGTGGGGCAAAAAAGTATTTAGTCAGCCACCAATTGTGAAAGTTCTCCCACTTAAAAAGATGAGAGAGGCCTGTAATTGGCATCATAGGTAGACCTCGACTAAGAGACAAAATGAGAAAAAAATCCAGACAATCACATTGGCTGATTTAGAAAGAATTTTTATTTGCAAATTATGGTGGAAAATAAGTATTTGGTCAATATGAAAAATTCATCTCAATACTTTGTTACATACCCTTTATTGGCAATGACAGAGGTCAAATGTTTCCTGTAAGTCTTCACAAGGTTGGCACACACTGTTGCTGATATGTTGGCCCATTCCTCCATGCAGATCTCCTCTAGAGCAGTGATGTTTTGGGGCTGTCGCTGGGCAACATGGACTTTCAACACCCTCCAAAGGTTTTCTATGGGGTTGAGATCTGGAGACTGGCTAGGCCACTCCAGGACCTTGAAATGCTTCTTACGAAGCCACTCCTTCGTTGCCTGGGCGGTATGTTTGGGATCATTGTAATGTTGGAAGACCCAGCCACGTTTCATCTTCAACGCCCTTGCTGATGGAAGGAGGTTTTGTCAGGGCAGGAGCTGAGGAACGGACAGGCAGGCCTAACAATGTAACGCACTGGCTGATGACAACCACCACCCACAGACCAAAGTCCCTCAGGGCGCGGAGTCTAAGTCCCAGGCTGCCCTTCACCAGGGCCCCTGATGGTGGGGATGGACTTGACGCAGCCAGGAACCAGGTCGCGGCCCCCGAGACACCTCAGCTGCGGTAATGGCCGCCGCCAATGGCGTGTAGCTGGTGGAAGAGACAAAAGAGTAGTCAGACAAGCCGGGGTCAACAACAACAGGACAGAACAGTACAGGACAGCAGACGAGAATCACAGGTCACGAGCCGGGTTCAGCAACAGAGGGTCAGATCAAAGGAGGATACAAAGAATAGTCAAGACAAGCCGAATCAGATACCAGGAGAGTCACGAGAGTCAGAACAGAGTAACAGCAACACAAAGACACAAGACACAAGTGCAAAGAGCATGTGCGGGCCACAGGCTTATATGTCATCAGCCACACCCCTCTGGAGGATGGACCACAGAAACCTGAAGGCATAAAAGGGCTCCCATCATGCACAGCAGAATCCATGATGGACACCAGCACATGAAGTAACAACCACAGGAAAAAGGTAGGACCTTGACAGGTTTGCACTCAAAATCTCACGATACATGGCCCCATTCATTCTGTCCTGTACATGGATCAGTCGTCCTGGTCCCTTTGTGGAGAAATAGCCCCAAAGCATGATGTTGCCACCCCCATGCTTCACAGTAGGTATGGTGTTCTTTGGATGCAACTCAGCATTCTCTCTCCTCCAAACACGATGAGTTGTGTTTCTACCAAACAGTTCTATTTTGGTTTCATCTGACCATATGACATTCTCCCAATCCAAATGCTCTCTAGCAAACTTCAGACGGGCCCGGACATGTACTGGCTTAAGCAGGGGGACACGTCGGGCACTGCAGGATCTGAGTCCCTGGCGGCATAGTGCGTTACTGATGGTAGCCTTTGTTACGTTGGTCCCAGCTCTCTGCAGGTCATTCACTAGGTCCCCCTGTGTGGTCCTGGGATTTTTGCTCACCGTTCTTGTGATCATTTTGACCCCACGGGGTGAGATCTTGCGTGGAGCCCCAGATCGAGGGAGATTATCAGTGGTCTTGTATGTCTTCCATTTTCTAATTATTGCTCCCACAGTTGATTTGTTCACACCAAGCTGCTTGCCTATTGCAGATTCAGTCTTCCCAGCCTGGTGCAGGTCTACAATTTTGTTTCTAGTGTCCTTCGACAGCTCTTTGGTCTTCACCATAGTGGAGTTTGGAGTGTGACTGTTTGAGGTTGTGGACAGGTGTCTTTTATACTGATAACAAGTTCAAACAGGTGCTATTGATACAGGTAATGAATGCAGGACAGGGGAGCCTCTTAAAGAAGAAGGTACAAGTCTGTGAGAGCCAGAAATCTTACTTGTTTGTAGGTGACCAAATACTTATTTTCCACCATAATTTGCAAATAAATTCTTTCCAAACCAGCCAATGTGATTGTCTGGATTTTTTTTCTCATTTTGTCTCTCATAGTTGAGGTCTACCTATGATGCCAATTACAGGCCTCTCTCTTCTTTTTAAGTGGGAGAACTTGCACAATTGGTGGCTGACTAAATACTTTTTTGCCTCACTGTACATGTGTCTGTGTGTACATGTGTCTGTGCATGTATGTACATGTGTCTGTGCATGTGTATTTCTGTGTATGTACATGTGTCTGTGTGTATGCGTGTCTGTACGTGCCTGTGTGTGTATACATGTCTGTGTATGTGTACACATGTGTCTCTGTGCGTGTGTGTACATGTTTCTGTGAGTGTGTATGTACATATGTGTGTGTGTGTGTCTGTTTGTGTGTGTTTGTTGGTGGCGAGTAACTCTTAAGGCCTGGCTAGTAGCTCGGGACTTGAAATTTTAAGCCCTGGCATAAGACATCTGGGCGGCAAGCCACTTCCATGCCTCTTGCCACCCTTCCTTAGCCCATGTGCTGTTCCTTCTGAACAGTGCATGTGAGATACTTGGCATGAACTTCCCTTCCCAAAATATTGGGGTTTACACACATAGTGAGTGTTAGCAATGTACTATTTAAAAAATTAGTATTCAATACTATTTCAAGAATAGAATAATTTGTGTATATAACCTACATTCGATGGCAGAATAATTACACTGTCTGGCTGTCTATTTATCTTTCTAAAATGCGTCTGTAGCAAATCTTTTTAGTTGAAGCACTATCAAATTTGAAAAGACCACCCAAGCTGCAATATTAGCCCATTACTGTAATTGGGAGCCTCAGAGACCAATACTGAGGCATATCTATGTGAAGAGACATTCTAAGCACCTGTAAAGCTTAAACTAAAAGTGAACATGAGGGGCTAGATAAATGCTAGACTTGACCCAGTATTTTGGAGTTCAGGTTGTTTAAAAAGTTATTATCAAATAAAGGCTTCAGTCATTTAAACATTTCTAGTAAGAAGTGAGTGAAGAAAATACAGAATAAATCAGATCTAGCATGTATTACGCCTTAATATTTTAGGCGACCAAGCAAAATGGGAGACAGCGATGAAGAAATTGATGAAGATGAAGACATAAATGCTAATTCTGTTGGATGTCTGGGCCCATTTAGTGGACTTTTAGCCCCAGAACTGCAGAGGTACCAGAAACAAATTAAAGGTAAGCTAAAATTCCAGTTTTAAAATAGAAGCGTGTATACATAAATATTGTTCCCTACCACCAATGTGACAGTTAAAAGCTACAGTATATTTGCTCTAGTGAGATGCATTCCATTCCTTCACTTCTAGAAAAATTCACTCCTTTCCCTTGTTTCTAGTAAGATGCACTCAATTTCTTCACTTTTTAGTAGCGACTAAAAGTGCCTATAAAGATAAACACTTATTTACAGGTTTAGGTTATAACCCACAGCATTTTGCTAATCTCTGCACTTAGGGTCTCATTAAAGTTTCATGTTATAATATCCACACTTTAACATAGTCTGTTTTTTTCCAGAGCATAAAGAAGAGCAGAAACTTGGCAACATTGCAGAGCTCAGCCCAGGTGCAATTGACTCATATCGTGGAGAATATCATGCTGTGTTTAATAGTATGATGATGGAGCGTATGACCACTGACATCAATGCCCTAAAACAGCAGTACTCCAGGATCAAGAAGAGGCAGCTGCAGCAAATTCACCAGGTCTACATCAGAGCAGGTAATATATTTAGTTTGTCTGTGAACATTCCTCATAGTGGAGCGTTTTGTATTCATCTCAGGAAAACAATTTAATAGTTGTAATAGTGACCCAGGTGATTATCAGTTTCTTTTCCTAATGAAACTCACTGCAAGTTGGAATCTACATTTGTCTTCAATATCATGTAGATTTCAATATTTGCTTGTAATTGTAAGCAGTCTTTTCATAAAGATAAAATTATAGCAAAGATATTGTGCAAAAAAGTCATAAATGCTGCCCCAGAATCACTAATACTTTCACTTCTAGTTATTACCACTATTATAGTTTTGATGGACGCACAAGAGCCATTTAGAAGGAACCAGCCAGGATATCCATATTGGAGCAGCCATTGCTGACTTCTTTTTTGTTTTTTAAGGTACAAGATCCAGGGCTGTCACCCAGATCCTAGCTTCAAGGATATGCAAAGATTATGCATATCTGGTTTTCTGACACCTGATACACACATGTGAGTTCCAAGTCAGTCACTCAATAACTGGGGCAACAAGAATAAGTATGACTGCACCGAATCTTGCACCTCCAAGACTCATCAATGGCAGCTCTAATATTCCTATCCTGGCAGATTCCTTTTAATATGTATACATATGGTATACTGTATCTTTGCATTTATCCATACCTACTAAGCTGATGCCTTTAAAAAACAAGTTGTGGCAAAGGGCACTAATATATTTGTTTTATATCCATTAATACACATTGTATTTTGTTTTTTTTTTTCCTGTAAACTTAGGACTCGAAGAAGAAAGGGATCCTGGGATTTTGTTTGATCCCAGGGATCAGCTGAATAATGGTATTTTAAAAAGTTCCTGTTTTATGGAGGTTTTGTTTGTTTTATTCCTAACATGCACGGTCATCCTTTTAATGAAGCATCTTGATAGTTGTTAACTAGAATAGAAAACTCAGTTTACCCCATACATGAATGTGTATGTATGTGTACAATTTATATAATTCTCTACAGAGCAACTGAATGATCAGATCAGTCTGACTGTTTCCCACTTCTTGGTAACGCTTAGTTGACCAATATTCAGATGGTCTCATGAAGTAGGTACTTGTATTTAGATCAAAAGAGAGGGAGGAATAATTGCAGTCTTAGAATATAGCCACATTAGCTGTATTCCATAAATACATGTGCTGGAATCAGACTTGCTGCAAGTTGATGGATCCATACACATAGGACATTGGCTGAATTGGTCAGTTTCGCCTCAGCCAGACAGCAGCTATCATGTGAAGAAAGCAGCTAATAATTCTTTCATTTGGGTGGGGTGAATAGTAATTTTCCCGGTTTTAAATATTTTTGAACATTATTGATAATTTCCCTGAGATAAAACTAGTTCCGGGAATGTCTGGCTGCTTTCCTGGTTTATACCTCCAGAGATACAGTACCTACCTGCACATTTTAGCAAGAAAAGCCTGCTGCTTGCCAGATAATGTTACACACCTGTTTACTTGTACCTCTGCTACATTAAGAATTACTGTGCATGTTTTATTGTAAATCATCCCTTTAAGACACTGAATTACTATCTCACTGTTTATTTTTTTCTTAAAACTTGTTACATGGACATTGTAATGTTGCTTAAAATACAGCATAAGAGACTAATTAAGGCTGGCATTGCTGACCCCTCCATTTAAGAAACTAATTCCCTAGTTGTCATGCTGAATCTTTTGCTGAGTCTGTGACTTAAAAGTACTGAAGACAGACCTGGCTAGGCAAGGTTCATTTTAAGCAGTCCAGTAGTGGCAGCCCCCATACCTATTTCACAACTCTACTTTCATTTATGTTAAATACAGTGTCCAGTTACAGTAAGTATTAATGCAACGTCCGCAATGTTTCACTGATTGGTGATGCTGATTGGTGATGGTTTTTTAATAAAAAATCTAATCAAAAACTTTAAATGTTGGATATCCTTTATTTGTCAATTCTTTCCTTTTCTTCAACACGGTGAAGTACTTATACTCTATTTTAAAATGATGTACAATCTATTCATGGCGGTGAGGGGTGTTGCATATGTTACATGTTTAATTATTAAGTATCTTGTGACAATAAATAATGAAATAAGAGTGTATTGTTTGTATCTGATAATGATAATCCGTTATGAATGGGAGAAGTTAGAGAAGTATTTCCAGCTGCAAAAACCCCCAGAAAACGAATTTTATATATGAAAAACCCTGCACTGTTGGGCTGATGCTGAATTGGGAGAGTTGCATTATTTGGGCCCCAGCTAATTGCTACTTTGGGGCAGTGAAAAATAAATTCTGAGAGTGCTAAAGCATTTGCAGGTGCTCAGCTTTTTTAAACATGACATACCGCTTGATTTATGAACCCACTGAAAACAAGTGGTTTCTGAAGCCATAGCAAAGTCATGCTGAAAATGCTCCAATGACAATGAATTTGCTGGTGGGGTGAGTGACCCCAGCAGTTTGGTATTTGTCCACTAGAGGGAGAGTTGAAGAAAAGGCATTTCAGTCCAGGACACTGCCTTGGAAGCTGGGCACACACTAGTAGATTTCTGAATGAACATTAACAAAAAAAAAAGTCTGATCAGTGCATTTGAATAGTTAACAAATATAATTTGAAAGTACTGCAAAATTTGCTTTTGGTTTTAATGGACTGTCCCTAACAAAAAACACATTCATTGCTAGAAATGTATTCATTTGAGAAAAAATTTACATCTTGCCCCTTCATATTTTCTCATCATTGTGGTCAAAAACTAATGTTGATTTGAATGCACTAATAGGAAAATTGAATAAACGTTTCAAATATGAAAATTTTAAATGGAATTCTGCTAATGTAAGGCATGCTTTACTGATTCACTATTCAATTTTCTGCAAAAGGATGGTATCCAGGTTAACTATGATGTCTAGCACTGAGGGATGAAACTGTTCCTGTGGTTAAAATTCTTACATTCTTTTAATTTTCCTTAATTTTAGATAAAGGTCCTGTGAGCAGTATTCTGCCATCTCAGGTTAATCAGTCTCCTGTTATAAACCATCTGCTACTTGGCAAGAAGTTGAAGCAAGCAAACAGGTCTTCTAAAAACACTGTTGTGCAGTGCAGTTACCATCCTCCAAGTCTATGATCTTACCCAATGAAGAAGCGAAAGCCAAGCTGAATTCTCCATGGCGAACCCACATCAGAGTTCATAGAAAGAACATTGCAAGGGCAAAAAGTCAGCTTGGCTACGGGGATACAATTGGGCTTATAGAGGAGCAAAATGAAGTCCCAAAAGATCAGGTTGATGCTGCCAAAGATAGTGAGGACATTGTGGAGAATGCTGACTCAGTAGCAGAAGATGAAAGTGGCTCAGACAGGACTGTTATGAAGGTTGATGGACACTCTCCAGAGCCTGTTTTCCAGGATGAAAATGCAAATGTGACTGTGGTACAGAGCAAACTAGAAGCACTAGAGCTGAGCTCCACTGATGAAACTAAGGACATGTCTGAGATAATCCATTCTGTAGAGCAAACACCACCTGATTCTCACAACTCCTCCAGTGAAAGTGGAACTTTATCAAAATCCCCAAGGGGACATGTATTTACCCCTTTTCCAAGCGTTAAGCCACTAAGAAAATCTGCTGCTGCTAGGAATCTAGGGTTATATGGGCCAAACAACAGAACCCCAACAGTAAATTTCCCACATATGAGCAGAAGTTTCAACAAGACTTCCAATGGCACTACGGGGAGCAAGAAACGGTAGCTCAACATTAGCACTTTATTTCTGAAAGACTTTTTTTTTTCCTCTCTTGTTCTGCCATTGCTTTCATGAAAAAGTGTCATGGATGGAGTTTCTGAAAATGTTGTACAGATTTGTGCTCTGGTGTTAAAGGTGGTCCTGTTATGATTGTGTGGTACAAGTCTAGAAAATGATCCTAGATTTTGTATGACAATAACAATATGGTATTTGTTTAATTATTTTACATTGATCAGTGATGCTAATTGACTTATTTATTTAAATGTTTTTTCCTCTTACAGTCTCTTCAGCCATTCCTCTGTTCAGCCAATTAGTCTATACTCACTGGTGGAAAGTTTTAGGGAAGTGTGGACTGTGGTGTCAGACTGTAAGCCTTTTAATGTGCAATGGAAAGAAATTCATAGACCCAGCTTTAGGGCTAAGTTACATGCTGGTTTGTTGTTCTACAGCCATGTCTTGGCAATGATTAATTTTACTCAGGAATTCCAGTAGAGTTATCCTGCAGAATCTGAGGAACTAGGAGGAATCTCTTTAATTGGCATATCAGGTAAATGCAGAGTCAAGCCAATAGAGGTGATTATTTGAGAAGGTTTAAATGACTCAAAGAAATTTCATTACATCCATAATGGCCCTCACTGCAATTGTAAAACCCATACATGAGGTCCAGTTTGAGGTCTTCAAGACAGTAAATGGTGCTTCTCCATATAATCATCATCCAGCAAACCTTTATTCTCTAAAGATGTAATATCAGAAATATTTGCATTTTACAGAATGTACTGTTTGCCAAGATCAGTTCTGAGTGCCAAAATTCAATGCATGCATAGATAAAGGGATCCTTTGCATTAAACTCGTAGCACCTAAATTATTACTTAATTGTTGTTAATAGGTCCCAAAATAATGATTGCCGTGTGACACAGCAGCTGAATACAGTATATATTATTATTGAGTACTTTGTATTTTGCCATGTGGCTATGCAAACTAGTTTAATTAGAATTGTCCCAAGATGACCTAACTTTTTTTCTTTGAGGTTTGTACAGTTGCATGGAAATTACCACCGTTAATATTAGACAAGGCCTGGAAAATGTAGTTATTTAAACATAGAGGGAGCAATTTCCACCTGAATGCTGAAGTTTTGCATGCTTTGATTTGCATCTTGTGTTGCCTTGTTCTTCAGCTATTTTACGCAAAAGGTTTTTTTTCTAGAACCTAGGTTATTGACTGTGCTGATCTGTTTCTTTGTTTTCCTAGAAAACTCACACCTAGACTTTCAAACTTTGTGTGAAATGTCCTTTCATTTATTTGTTTTGTTGTTTCCCAAATATCACTTATTCATAAAGTGCCAGATAGGAAGGG